TGATTCATTAAACACACAAACAATGAGCAAATCTGTTCCATTAGCGAGGCCACCTGTTGATCTCAGACATTCTCAGCTGAACCGGGTGGACACGAACAACAGAATGCCTCCATCCCTCGAGTGCCCCGTCCACATCCGATAGCATGTTGGAGCAAGAGAGCGGAGTCCAGGCTGTGCTACTGCTTTTATGCTTTTCCTTTCATCTGGTGGCAGGGCCGTGGAGCAAGAACTGTGCAGAGAGCACAGTCGAGCACTCTGCAACCGGGAGAGTCTAGGAGCTTGGCTGACGGGGCCTCCTTAGTCTATCAGAGATAGAGAGGGAATGGGGTTAGGGATATTCCGCACCTCTTTCTTGCTGTTGTGAAGGCAAGGGAACTGAGCAAGTTTTAAATACATGCACACAGACACACACGCATGCACACATAAGTTCATACTGTGGCAGTGGGTGAGTGCAGAATACTATGGCTGAGCAAAAGTGCAAAAGAAACGCCATCAATTGCGGTGCTATTTTCTCTGTCCTTGAAACGTAGTCTTTGTGCTGTGTGGCCTCTTATTCCTATGTCTACTCAGGGCCTTTAAGCAGGGGTTTCTGAATGTTTGCATGCTTTCTGTACATCGGGGTTGCTAAAAATTATACAAAGCAGACTGAGTTAAGCTTCTGATGTTGGTATCACAGCCAACAAAAGTTAATATTTTTAAAACAGCATTGTTTGCTGTTCTCGCACAGGTAATGACTACTATTAGAATCAAGAGAACCTTTACAGTCCTTTTGGACTCTGAAAGCTGTACTATACCAGGGATAACTCATCATCCAATCTTCCCCAAGGGAATATTAAATCGTCTCTGTAGGGTGAATTCACCATAGTGCCTGGATAGCCACCAGGGTTTGTACGACAGACTTCATCACTATGAAGCTTAAATTTCCGTAGTGTGACAGACCATTTGGAAATATTCGATGATGGTCCTGTGAGGTAACTCAGTGACTAACGGAAGTTGTTGGGAGCAGCGAACCCCCAGATCCTGGACTTCTTGTAAACAACTTGTTTTCCTCTGCTCTGAGACAGCCTGCAGCTGCTCTGAGCACGAGACCCTCAGGAGTTCCTGATGGCAGGAGAGTGGCTTCATCAGTTAAGGATCCCTATATAAGCAACTCTGGTACACAATAAGGGGGGCATTCTTGGGGAATTCCTGTTTCAAGCATGACTTGTGTGTCTGTCTGTGTGTCTTTATGTGTTTAAATCTCCAGGCCCTTGCCCAAAGCCCACGAATGGACCTGTAGTGCAGGCGCTGCAATACAGGAGTAGTACCGTACTGCTACGTAGTACAGGCGGGCAGTACAGAGGTTGCCACCAAGCCTGAGGATCTGAGTTCAATCCTTGGGGTCCACCTGATGGAAGAGGAGCAGGGACTCCTGAGACTCCCACAGATTGCTGCTGTCTGCCTCCACACATACCTTATGGCAACTCACAAATGAATAATAAGTGTAATAGCTAAAACTGATGATGTAGATCAGTTATAATTTTATTATGGATTTACTCTAAAGAGCAGTAAAAAAAGCATTGTGGTTCACGGGGTTCATATAAGAAAACAAAAGATGAAACGTTAGATGAAAATGATAGTCCAAGAAAAATTCCAGTTCCTGTTAATATTCTAAAATGCATTTTAAAAATCTTGAATTTTTGAGTCCTTGAGAGAGAACTGTTCCACATAAATGAACAATTAATAGAAAGCTAGTGACCACCTTTCTATTCATGTGATATGCTGGCCACAGACCTTTCTAACGTGGAGGTAATGTTAGAATCTACAGTGTCTAGTGTGGTAGCCATTAGCACATGTGGCTGCTAAGCATTGGCAATGTGGCTAGAATGACTTGGAAATAAATTTTAGTTTGGTGTTTTGAAATGTAAACAGGTCTTTAGTGGCTTTCACTAAATATACCTAATACGTAGATTGGATTCTTACCTTCTTTTTAAGTTATGTGTACTTGTGTGTGCATGTGCACACAGTGTGTGTGTGTGTCTGTGTGTTCATGTGTGAGCGCACATGTGTGTACCAAGAGGTAGACACACATAGGGTGTCCTCCTTTATTGAATGAATCACTCTCTTCTCTTGGGTCTCATTGTGCTTTAGCACGAATTTCAGAACAAGGGTTTCTAAGGGCAGAACCTTAGGTCTGTATGTTCAGAAGGAAATGCCGAAGGGTACTAGGAAAGTAGTGTGTATGGGCACAGTGCAAGAAAGGGGGAAAGCCAAAGAAGCATGTGGTCATGGGTAAGGTGACACAAGAGGCTTCTTGTGCCCAATCTGCAGACAACTTATGAGTTCAGGAAGTCAAGTGTCACAGTTGTCCCAGCATGGAAGAGTTGGGCAGAGTCTCGCCTTCAGCAGACGCTGAGGAAGGGGTACCCTGTGAGCCTGAGGGGACACTGGTTCTCCATTTATGAGGACACTGTACACTCAAAGGCCACTACTCCTGAAAAGATTCCAGGTGCAACTGTGACAAGGGAAGCCCAGACGTGCAGCCACGGCCGCAAGGGTTGTTGATGGGGTGGGACAGCTGTCACAGAACTGGTGAAAAGGACCCTGACTGAGCTGGCTGGAACCCATGCTTTAGTATTCGATGGTATTCAAGATGGAGACAGAGCTAGACTTGAGTCTACCTAAACCAACCTTTTCCTGAAAGTGGTTGTTGAATGTTTTTTTTCTGTGAAATGTAGAGAATATTTTTTAAACTCAGATCGTAAATAATAGCCAAGTGGGATAATGTATAAGAAGTCATCAACATAGTATTAGATATCTAGTAAAACTTTAAAGCATGTAGCTATTGTTTATCATGCCATGCGATTATGTATAATAACTTCTCCATTGGACCTGAGGTTCTCCAGGGTAGCAACATACTCCATTTGTCTTTAAATCAAAAATGCCTAAGCCAAAGTCTCATAATGAGGAATGGCTGGTAGATAGTTTTCAGTTTCTCAAGTCAATTAGTGGTCTTACACTTCGAACCTCATCTCGTCTCTCTCGCCATCCCATCTCTCTGGTCATCTCGTCTCTCTCATCTCTGATAATGTGTTGCACTGAAATGCTCTCTCTTTGTGCCCGTTTTGCCTATGAGGTCCTAAAGTAAGATCTTTATTCCTCTCACTCTCTTTCTTTCTTTTTCCTTCCTTTCTCCTTAAAGACAGGAGCTCATGTAACTCAAGCTGGCCTAAAATTAGCCAGGTAGCTAAGGTTGACCTTGAACTTCTGACTCTCCTCCGCTTGTCTCCTTTGTACCTTCTTATTCTGTTTTGGCTTATTTATAATTAGCACAATATGGTGCATGATGTCTTATAAATAATTCCTTGTTAACTGATGTTTGTTTGGTAATGTTCTAAACTATTTCAATGGTAAGACTGTTATGAATCTTAAGAGTTTGCTGTAGACAGCAATGTCAGAGTGAACATATGGTCCCATACAGGAAAACCTTAACCATTTCAGGGTTTTTGAGCAGAATAGAATTTCATAGAAATTACTGGTGCCAAGGGAAGAAGGATTTTAAATGGTCCTTTAAAGATACCTGTCTCTAAAGCCAGACTCTTCACGGCTGAATCTCCACTGCTTTGGTTAGGTCACAGTGTGTGACAGTTTAAGATGGGAACTGTGTGGATAGACCTGATCTAATTACAGGAGACAAGGAAGTCAAGAACCCTCTGGGTGGCGGCAGAGAAGCAGGTTGGGGTTGCAGTGTAAAGGGGATATGGCCTAAGAGACCCCGCTCTTCCCTGTGATGTGGCAGGAAGGCTCAGTGCATCATCTTAGATTTGAAGCTCGAGGAAGCGGACTATGAAGAAGATAGGAGAGAGTGTTGGTTGGCAGCCAGCGAGGAAATCAGAACCTAGGTTTTAACACCCTAAGGGAATGAATTCCAGAAACAACCGGAATAAGCTACACGTCAATTCTTCTCAGCACCTCCAGACAAGAGCCAACCCTGGCTGACTCCTTGATTTGGGCCTTGTGAGACCTTGATCACAGAAACCAGTCAAATTGTCTGCATAAGCTAATTAATAGGAATATTTTTAAGGACAGCGGGACTGTGGCTATTGTTACCCAGCAATAGAAAAGGTTCCAAGTTCTTGGCACCTTGTGGAAAAGTCTGGAATCGAAAGTAAGGTAGCCTTCGCCTAGCTTTCAGGTGACCTCACCCAGGTAGGGAAGCAGTCGGTGTTGACAACAGACTCAGCCCTGCAGCAGGGCTCTGGCCTTTCCAAGGCTTCACACTACCAAGATGCCTTTCTGTCAGCTTTCCCACAGGAGAAATTTACGTTTTACAGACCAGAAACTCGAGATTTGGTTGGGCTAAGCATGTTGCCTAAAGTCTCACTTAACAAAATGCTTCAAAACCAAGATCCTAGGACCCTGGTTCCCCTCTTCGGGAACCACATATCCAGGCTCGGGGCTGGTGGTGCACTTCTGATAACACTGACACTCTTGGCTCACTCACAGTGGGCCTTGCAGACTCAAAGAGGAGGTAATGACGAAACAAAACAAAACAAAACAAAACAGAAACATTTGTTGGGGTTTAAATTGCTTGTGCTTCTCTTCCCTCTTCTCATCCCAGCTGCCCTGGCCCACGGCCCCTGTCTTTGCACCAAGTCTTCTTCAGTGTTTGCCACAGGTGCTCAAAATTTCTGGGTGTATTTTGACAGAGGGTTCTGTCCTCTTTCACCTCAGGAATGCAGAGCAGCGGAGGCACTTCTCTGAGTTCAATGTCTTCCTGCCTCCTCCTCAGGTGGAACAGCTGGCAAGGAAGACACAGCCAGCATGAGGGCCTCTGCCGCGAAAGGGAGGCCGCGTTTCCTCCAGCCATCTCCCCTGCATACCAATCCCCTGACAAGCAGATTGGCCGCAGGCTCAAGCATGACTGCGATTTGGCCTTTCTCTGCGGACAGTGAACCTGCTCCCTTTAAAACCTCAACTCCAGGAGGTGGTGGGAGCAACATGTTTGAGGCAGGTGGGGCTCCAGGATCCCAAATGTTGAGGTTCAACAAATGCTCATCATTTCATTCAGCCGAAAAAAACGGAAGCAGGGCATCTGTCCCTGAGTTAAGAAGTGAAGAATCCAACCATTTGGAAAGCTCAGGTGGATCTCCTAGGAACACAGTTGTTGGGAAGCTGCGGCCAACCCCCAGAATCCTGACTTCTGGCAGGAGAGCTTCTGCTGCCCAGGTGTGCTGCTATAGCAGCACCCCGGATCTTTCAGAGGTGCTTCAGGTGAGGAGCTTCCTGAGATGCTCAGAAAGGCAGGAATCAGGACTGAATGAGGCAGGGCGGTGGTGGTCCTTTAATCCCAGTCGTGAGAGGCAGAGAGGTGGGGGGAATCTCTGAGTCTGAGGCCAGCCTAGTCTACAGATTTCCAGGACAGCCAGGGCTCCACAGAGAAAACCCTGTCAAAATGGCCGCTGGAGACACAGTGCAGGCAGTATACTCTCCGAAGTTCAGTAGGAGAGCTGACTGCTCCAGCCTGTTGCAGGCTGGGAGAAAAGTGCCGAGGTAGGGAGGAGAACATCACAGGTGCAAAGTGAAGGGCTGTGCGACCTCTCTGTAAGAAGGCTTCCTGGAGGAGAGGACCATCAGGTATTAGAATGATTGTAATTGACTGTAGTTTCTGAGAGAAAATCAAAGACTTGACTTGAGTAGCGAATAGCTGCCCACCACTAAGGGGACACTTGTCAGGGGAGTCCCTCTATTAGGTTCACTTGGATGGTCAGGGACAATACTGTGGCCGTGTTGATGAATTCTGCAGCCTGCTTTGATGGCCTTTGACTCTCCAAGTCAGATGAGGGGCTAGGGCTCCTCTTCGCTTCTTTCCCCAGTCTCTCCTGTGATGTAGTGTGTGGTTCAGAGCCTGTTGAAAGAGCAATGTTCGACAGTAGACTAGAATCCCTAGGAGTGCGTGTGGTGAGGCCGGTGGGTGAGGGGTCTGACCCTTCCTCCACTGGCTGGGGGTGTCTGCCGTGTCCCATCTAAGCCTGTTGCCCTCGGGGCACCCTGACAAAACATGCTGAGATCATCCTGTCAAAGGTCAAATTTGGGGGTTAAAGAAATAGCCACTAAAGATCTCCAAGTAGCCAGAAAAAAAATCATCTTTGCTTTAACTGAGGAGGATTTGAACCTGTCTCCAAATTTGGCAGGTCTGGATATTAATTCATTGTGACATCTACTTTTTTCATATTTTATAAATAGGCAAGAAATGGAACACGAATCCATGTTCTGAAGCGCCACTCCAAGATTCTGGGATAGAGTGCAATTCTGAGTTCGTCCTGTTTATTCGACTAGTCTCTAGTCGTTTGGGTAACACAATATTTCATCCCCTGAGTGCTCTAAGCCAATTGCTAGCACAAGGTTCCCGCTCTGTTGTAATTGTCTATGAAAGAAAAGAATGTGGCATGGCTGCCGTGCTGTCTTCAAGGACTCTGGTGGCACCTTCTGCTATCTTCTAGTCTTCCATACAGCCACCAGAAAACGTGATTTTCTTAGAATTCTAGAATTTTGGAATCAGAAAAAAAAATTGACCTTCTGTGCCAATAACTATCACAACACTGAGCCCTTTGCTTCCAATCAATCTACTTCCATGAGTATCAGAAAATGCCCCTCAAACGACCATTTTAAGGAAGCCCATCCTAGTACTGTTTTAATCAGGTTTCTATTGCTGCGATGAAACACCATGACCAAAATGCTAGTTGGGGCGGAAAGAGTTTATTAGGCTTACACTTCAGAGCTGTTCTTCCTCACTGAAGGAAGTCAAAAATAGGGCAGGATCCTGGAGTCAGAAGCTGATAGAGGCCATGAAAGGAGCTGCTTACTGGCTTGCTTCCGATGGCTTGTTCAGCCTGCCTTATAGACCCCAGGGCCAGCAGCACAGGGATGACACCACCCACCATAGGCTGGGCCCTCTCTGTTTGATCTCTAAATGAGAAAATGCCTTATAGCTGGATCCCAAGGGGATCCATTTCCTCAACTGAGGCTCCTTCCTCTGATGACTCTAGCTTGTGTCAAGTTGACACACAAACCACCCAGTACAAGTACCTAAAATCAGATGAAACATTGTGGACTTCATAGGACACATCAACTTGAAGGAGTATTATGCAGTCCTAAAACAGTTATGAATATTATGTGTACATATGAAATTCGCCAGTGTGTAAATGTTTGGATCTCATCATGTGCCAATGCACGGTAAATAAACAATATTCCAACTGCAAGTTCTTACAGAAATATTGAATGGTAAATGTGTGGACAATGGCATTTGAAAAGTTGGTTCCACTGTTTGTATCCATCCATATAAAATTATTGCAGACCTTCAGAAGCAGGGATGGCCTCGGAGGGCGACTTGTGAGAGTGCTTCAGAACATGAGTGGCCTTCCATTTGTTTTGGCTCCTGTCATCTGTAGGGTGACTCCCATGTGCTGCAAACACAGCAGTGGTTAAGTCAGAAGAAATATAATCCCCAACAATGTTAATCAGACCCGTGTCTTACTTTGTATAATGAATATTTGAACTGAAATGGTCACTTTTACCATAATGTCTCTCACCCCTCTCTCGCCAATCTCATTTTCTTTCTTCCCCATGAGTCCTACAGAGGGAGATTTACTCACAGAGTCAGTAAGTTGCACCAGGCCACACAGCTTACATTGCAGTGAAGCTGATGTAAGTCGATCGTTCTACCTCATCCCCGCCTCTCCCCACACCCCCTACATCCCTTGTAGCTAAAAAGTGATGACCCAACAATTGAGGGTCATATTGTTCTCATTTAGAAACACAATTAGCACTTTTGTGCAGGAAGAGAGAAGGCTCTACGTGTGTGCTTCTTAAACCACGTCCTAGGTAGGAGCCACTCAAGGGTCTTGCCCAGATGCACGATTTTCATTCTGTAGATGGGAGAAAGGCATGCGATTCTATTTTGTTCACAAAGTCATGTTTGAGTTACAAGAGTCTCAGTGACAGAAACTAGATTCAGAAGGAGTTAGAATTATTTTAGTTTTACCCTGAAGATGTTAAAATGTCTGTGTTTTGTTGTTGTTGTTTATGAACCCTGAATTTTCCTTCATTAACAGGGAATATGTTTTCCCTTCCTAGTTAAGGATTCACTTCAGACCTCGGTTCCTGGGCTATGAAAGACAGAAGAATGTTACAGATCTGCACCAAAAAGAGAATGGCTTGCAGATATACATCTTGCTTAGTTGACTACTAAGCACTGCTCTTACCTACTAGGACCGAGCATCCTCACGTAGCTTCCAGCATCACCAGGGAATCAGAAGCCAGACACTTGGAATCAGGACCAAACCTGACTGGTAGCCTAAGCACCCAAGACTAATGGTACATTATATCATTTGTTTGAATTTTTATTTTCTCATCTATGAAATTGAGTAGTTATAATATCAATCTTAATGAATGATTGTGGCGATTAAATGAGATCAAATACACAGATCACTTAATTCAGCATCTGACATGGAGTTAGTGTCTAAGAAAGGTAGAGACCGTATCTAATCGGGTCTCAATATCATTCTGAAATTCTGGTTTAGAAAAGTTCATAGCCTGTTGGCTGAAACAGATGGGAAATTAAACAATTATATTTATTTTAAACTAAATATTTAATGGAGCATACTTTAAATAGAAATTAACTAATACATAAATACACACTAGATAAAGCATACACATCTAAGAATATGTGTATCTACCAGTCATCACTGTGACAGAATACTGAGAGGAATGATTTATAAGGAAAATAAAAGATTTTGTCATATTCCAGAAGTTTCAATCCATGGTGCTGACTCCACTGATTTGTTTTGGATTGTGGCAACACACTAGGTCATGAGGTGAGAAAGTGGCTCTGGTGGCTGCTTCTCTAATGGCCTTTTATTAGAATCTACTTGGCTCCACTACCTCTCAATAGTTTGGTCTAATAGCTGAGGACCAAGCTTTGACACATGGGACTTTGGGGACATTACAGATCCCAACCATGACAATGCACATCTACATAAACATTAACATATTTCAATAATATCTAATGTGCTTAATATATTTATCCAGTAACTACAAGTGCATGAGAAATATATATTAGAGAAACATATAACAGATATATTTACAGACAAATATATACATAGAAATAGAAATACATGTAACATGTTACATAAACAATTGAAATGTCAATGGTAGGTTAAAATATTTATGTAAGCTCATGGATTATTTTTTACAGCTATTATTTATCAATCTATGTGTATATCTGTGTGTAGATTCATGAATGGACCCAGGCTAATACATTTGTTTTAATCAATACCATGGGGACCCCAAAGATGGTATAACTAATTTTCTGAGATAGCAAGGGTATTGAAGTATTAGAGCATGGTTCAGGGGAAAAGCATCAGGGGTGAAGTTTTGAACTGAGGGGACAACATGCAGTAAGATGTTATGGAGTGTTGGGCTCTAAAGATGGCTCAGTCATGGCTGTGATAATGACAGAATGGTGGTTTGAAGTTGATCAAAGATGTAATTCTATGTGTGTTATAGCCGGTAAGTCTGGAGGGTGTTAAGTTCACTGGAAACCCTTCTGTCTGCACTCTAATTCCTTCAGGACTTACACAGTACTCCACACACCATCAAGCCTTGCCAGAGTCTTTGAACAGCCTCAGCAAATGCAGTGTGTGGGAAAGCAGTCCCTGGGGAACAGTCCACATGGTCCCATCCATGGGCTGCTAGGTGCTAAAAAGGAAAATTCCATGATGGATTTCTCTGAAGAGGAAAACAGGTGAATTGTTGGCACATGGGACATATGAAAGTGAGCATCAGGGATGACAAAGAAGACACAGAGGTAAAGTGAGCATCAGAGATGACAAAGAAGACACAGAGGTATATCATACTTATGCTCCTGTTGCTGCTGGATTGTTTAGGCTGACCGTGAAGGACGTAAGTTCTTCAGGTCCCTAAAGACTGAAGGTTAAGTGTTATGGTGAATGAGGGAATCTTTAATTCCCTTCATCACAGCTTTATTGCTGCCTAACATATGACTCTGGAGTCGAAGAAGAAGCGCTCTCTGGTTAGAATCTGAAGAACCCCTTTGTGTCATTTTCACAGGGAACCATGCCAAGGACTGCTTGTTGTTGATCACATGTACAGATCTGATTGTATTTATTGCCCTCTGTCATATAAAGGGCCTCTTAAACTCTTGGTCCTTAACACATGTTGAAAAATAAAATGATTAATTTTATAGTTCCTTTCATCTGAGGATCATAATCTTCCAAACATTAATTAAGACCTACAGCACACCGTGAGGCATGCAAATATTAGTATGTTGTTTTCCGTGTGGAGATGATGATTAAGAAGGCTGTTGAGCAATTTGCCCACAATAAGGTGAGTTTGTAGCTATGGGAGGTGCATCTCTACCCTCTGAGACAAGCACAATAATTGCTAAACCACGATAAAAGCCTTTATTCATTCCTTTAAGATGAGTGTGCACAACTGAATCATAGCTTTTCACTCCCATCTTGCTTAAGAATCTAGAGACCATCCAATTATTTTTTAAAAAAAGTGATAATCTACTTTTCAAAAAATGAACAGTTTCATATTTACTCCCTTGAATTTATCCTCACCATCTGGTTCACATTTACCCCTCCGAATTTATCCTCACATCTAGAGAACCCCAGAATGGAGAATTCTGTTCCATATCCAATTTATTACTGTACCATAATCTTTTCAAAGAAGCTATGGAGTTACGGCTGTTTACTCTTGGTATTGCAAGCCTATTCTGTTCTTAGATTTATGTCATCTAGGATGTTCCTAACTTAGTGCTTTACTGCCTTCAATGCAAATAATTTCTTAAGATATGCTAGAATGTAGGATTCCCAAGCAGCCAACACTACTTAGCTGAACACTCTGCAACACACACTTTGCCTACAGACTGCATAATTCTTGACTATGACAGGGTACCACTCCCACTGAGCGGAAGAGAAACCTGAGGATTGAGTAAGTAGACATTTGCTCGGTAGGGATCATGTGACTGGGGAGTGCGAGAGTCTGATATCAGCCCCAAGACTGTGGCTATCCCACTGCAAGCACTAACCCCAGCTCCCGAGTTCCTTCTCAGGGATAACAGAGACTTAACGAGCATCCTTTTATGTGCTTTACGTCCTTTCCAGCAAATTGAAAGCCTGACTCTCCATCTTACCTGGTGGGGATTTACTAGGTGACTGTGGCTGTGGGCTTGAAGGGAGACTATAAACTAGCTAAATACAATGAGAGCTGGCATCGCTTCCTTTCCCAGGTGAACTAGGTGTCCGACTGTTCACTGGTAACCTCTGTGTCCCCAACGGCACCCAGAATCTCTCCTGAGATGAGCAGATTTTGGGGAGCAAATCTCACTTTTGTTGCCCGACAGGCTTTCTGTCTGTCTCATGTTCCATTTGCTCATCCTCCTCCTGACTTCCCTGTGAGAATCTGGCAATCTTTGAAGGTCCAGTCTTTCGATTGCCACAGCATTCCAACTTTATTATTGTCCCCTCCTTGGGAGGGGGCTTTCCTGAGGGTTGTTTGTTTTGCTGAAGAACTGGTAAATGACGTGTTTCAGAAGTGACATTTTGACTTGCAGAAGCCAGGCAATCTGGACAGGGAGAGAATTTCTATAAATCCCACATGTTGTCTCTGTTTCGTTTTAAACGCAGCATCTGTAGCATATACCTGCCAAGGAGAGTCATATTTTTATTTTCACCAATAATTCTAGGGAACCGGCTATTGCCCAGATCCAACAACTTGGATTCTTCCCTGACTTTTCTACTCAATTGGGCCATTTTTTCCAAACATGAAAGATTTGATGCAGAAGAAAATATCTCTTTGGCACCACCACATAGAACTGCGTGCATGTGCTATTTCTAAAAAGCAGCCTCCTTGAAGAACAAGATGGAAATTTAATGGCAGCTTTAATTTTAAGACGCTTACAATATTACACTAGCAAAAAAGAATTCAGCACCAGCTGTGTGTCTGAGAAACCAAGGGGCTGAGGAAGTCTGTCACATGGACAGCGTCTAACTCTGCGAGTTAGGTGTGCGCCCAGTGTTCAGCACGTTTCACAATACAGACAGTTCACAGATAGAGGTGGGGGTGAGGACAATATCTGGAAGTAGAGGAGAATTAAATGCTTCAAGGAAGTTGAGGTTAGTTCTCCCCCACCTAAATCACAGAGATTTGCTGAACACCAAGGTCTTTTGGGGTATATTGACAGTGACCCAATATTTCTTTTCAGTTTGGAGGAGACCCATATGCAAACAACAGACAAACTAAGTAGGACAAAATAATGGTGTTTCTGCCTTAGAGAGGAGAAGAGATCAAGTGCAAATAGGAGACAGCCTGTCTGCAAGGACCTTTAGCCAATTGCTTGATGCACGTGGCTGCACAAAGGGTTGAGTATCATCCAATGGACACAGATGGGATGATTTAGGAGACAAACAATTTTTATTTTGTTACCTCTGTGCAAATGCTTGGAATACCTGCCTTTATAAAAATTTTAATTTTGATATAGATATAAAAACATTAAATATACATCAAGAAATTCTACAGAAAGAATTTCTTGGCTAATACCCAGGGTTATTAAACTTGAACCTGCTACTGGTCCATTTCTTTGCAGATCTGGACCTTAATAGTGGCAGTTTGCAGTCATAGGACTTGTAAGATTGCTGTTAAGATAACATTTCTCACCTTTTTAGAAATAGTATTTCCTAGAGTCAATCCTCGCTCCCTTCCTTCCTTTCTTCCTCCCTCCCTTTACCCCCACCTCCATCCCTCTGTTCTTGCCTTCCTCCCACTTCCCTCCCTCCCTGCCATCCTTCCTTTCTTCTTTCCTTCCTCCCTCCATCTCCCCTCCTTCCCATCCTTCCTTTTGCCCTCCCTTCCATCTTCTTCTCCTTTCTTTTTCTTTCTCTCCCTTCCTTCCTTCTTCCCACCTCCCTCTTCTTTTGCACACATATTTTAAGTTTGCTATAGTGAGTCACTTTGTAGTGCTTTAAGTACTAGGAAACATACATGGTGAGATGCTTTTAAGCTTCTTCCTGCCTACGGTAAGCGTTCACTCCAGTATATGTCTCTTCTGAGTCAAGTTTGTTTCTCTCCCCATGAAGAAAGGTATATCATTTCATCATATCCATATTTGTACAAGAGCATTGCTCTTGGTTTGTACCTTATTTTCTTTTAAAATTTCTTTAAAACATTTTAATACTAAATTTAAAAGTTTTAATTTTAATTTCTAATCATACTGTGAAAGGCACTTAATTCTTTTAATGATTTTCTTATATATTTTTATGTGTTCCTGCATAAGTTCATGTGTATCATGTATGTGCATGCAGGTGCCCACAGAGGCCAGAAGAGGGCATCTGTTCTCCTGGCACTGGAGTTATGGGTTATTGTCAACCACCCAGTATGGGTACTTGGAATTGAACCCAGATTCTCTGCAAGAGCAGTAAGTGGTCTTCACTGCTGAGTCATCTCTCCAGCCTTCACTTAAAAGCCTTTATCAAACTCAGTTGGGAGAGACAAGCGAAACAAAAGCTGTGGCTATTCTGACACTATGGCTAACCGAGGCACAAGCACGAGCTTTCGTTCTGCCTTTTTGCACGGCTGTCACAGTGTTGTCAGGAGGATTCAGGAGAATGTGGAATTACAAATATTATTATAAATAATTAACCGATCCAGGTCATAATGAGGATAATTATTTTTGTGTTTCTTTATCCCTCTGGGGTATGCAATAATTACATCAGTCCTCTGCCAAATAGCATTTAAATACTGTTATTGGTTAAAACAAAATGCAAAAGCTTTGGTCTTATTTGATATGTCCAAAAGTAAAGAAAGATATGGGAAAGGTAACACCCAGGAGGATTTACGGAGGGTTCCAAATGATGCCCTAAATAACTATTTTGGAGCTCAGTTACATGCAGGTGGTAGGATTTATGCTATGAATGCCTAAAATACTTTCTCTCTGGAGAGGAGATTATTGAGTCCTAGCGAGCACGAGTGCTCACTGCCAATACTAACCATTAGCTTTTGGCTCTGAGCCACGGCTGTCTACTCTGCAGTGGATTCCGCCACCAAGGGGAAGGTCATTAAGGGCTGTTCTCTAGTCTCGTTAGTATGTTCCAGCGTAATTAACAGAACTTGTTCACCAGATGGTTCCCTTCCTGTCAGCAAGTGCCTCCAGCTTAATGGGCTATGCAGGATTTTTTAAGTGGGTGAGGCGGGAAGCAAATTTAAAATATATCATCTTTGATCCTCCCACCTCTAATTAGTTCTAAAGGTTTTAGATAATAATGTAAAGGGGTCAGGAGAATGAAATCATTCTAAACAATCAAAGACACGCAGGAGTCCAACGGGAGCGTTAGCCAGACCAGGGAGTGTTTATTCCTCTCTGCTAGGTTTCCATCCAGCGCAGAGAAAGGGCAGAGATGTCGTCGCCTACCATCAAGACACTTGTGGAGCCTTGGGCTGAGATGGATCAAAATGTGATGATGAAATCCAGGACGTGTTTATCGAGTTCCCGCTAGATTCAGAAACTGTTTTGTGTTCTGGTGAAAAGACAGTGGCCCCTCTTTGCCCCAGAGTTTAGAGAATCATGGAGGTTTGGACATTCAGCCATGTAGCTCACAGTCGAGTTTGTGAGGGCTGCACTAGACACTCGCTTCTCACCCTGTCATTCACGCTTCTACATCAAGTTCAGGTCTGTCCTGTCTTTCACACGGTGTTGGGTGCGAGACAGGGCTGCCCCAGCCAATCTCATCTGTCTAATTCTTCTCACCAGCGACTATTTTAACAGTTGAACATGCGAGCCACTTCTAGCTAGTCCACTGGGAGGACTGACACCTTGTTTGAAGCTGTGGTGCACACTTTTTTATTCCAAGAAACCACTAGCTGATACGGTCCTCTTTTTATACGATGTTGTGAGCAGACTAAGACCAATCTAATTAAATGATAAAAATAACATCCCCAAAGCTAAGCCAAGAGGTTTCCCTATCAACTGGTCACATTTAGGAAACAATGACATAAAAAGGAAAGTAACAAGAGTATTTCATTCATAGTCTCTTGTGATTATTGGGAAATCCTCGTCAATCTCACAAGGAACACAGGACATTGAGACTCAGTGCTACTGGTGACGGTCCTCAGGAAAGCTGCAGGGTTCTGAAATCAAGGGTTCCTCTAAACACCTCCTGTTTCTTTCTTAAAGTTAAGCTAGAAACCCTCAATGTCACTGGCCAGGATACAGTGCAATGATGAAATTCCTCTTTTTGTCAGAAAAATACTAACTTTTCTTCTTCTGAACTGTTATCTGAACTCATTTGCTTTTTTTTTTCTACAGGGAGAAATGTTTGAAGTCATGCAAGGCTTCTGGTGGGATAAAATATTAATTATCCAAGGACAATATTAGTGATGAAAAATTGTGCGACAGGTATTTGGAGGACCAGATGAGATGACCTAGTGCTCTGGGCTGCATGCTAGCTCTCCACTCAGAAAGGCGTGGAAGGTGGTGAGCGATCTAGAAGAATGTGGCGTGCACATTCACCACGGTAGCTATTGGCTTCGTTGTCATGCATTAAAGCTCAGATTTGAAGGCAATTCCACCATTCACTGAAGTTCTTGGAACCTCTCTGTCTAAAGGTGACTAAAAGAGCAACTTAATAAGTTTAAGCAAAATTGAGGTGTATTGTTCCCATAACTGAGTAATTCAGTCAGGAACTCTACCTTCAGGTATAACATGGGTCAAGAATTGCTTCTTGTCAGTTTGTTCCTTCTAGAGGCTCTTCCTTCTTAGCAATGGCTCAATTCTGGCTCCAAGTGGTGTTCTCAAAATTTAGGGTTCCTCCTTCAAAGAATTATGTCCACTGAAAATGGAGTTGACCTGTTGGGCAGCTCGAATGAAGTCAAGAAGCCAATTCCATTAGCTTGGATTGTATTTTTGTAGTAGATTATGCTATGTCTTTGCTGTAATGCTATATTCTCTTGTAGCAGTATTATATATCTACTGTCTTGCTGTGGCTCACAGTAGGCATTGTACCCTCCTTGTCTTGGCTATTGACTAAACCGCATGACTCATGCATGAATGGGATGCCGGGAAATGTTATGTAAAAGAAGCATAAACCTCTAGTTGAGTTTGCCCTCTTCCTATAACCTTTGCTGTCACATAGGAAGAACATGCCTTGCATAAAAGACTGTCAAAGCAAGAAGAAAGAAACATGGCAAGATATCGGATCGTGATCTTAGTACTGGGCTGGAATTGGCATCATCCAAGGGAACCTTCACTAGTCAACTTTCAGCCAACGTCAGAAACGTACGAGTCAAGTAAGTGCCTGTTGTTGTAAGCCGCTAAGTTTTGGCACTGCTTGTTACCTAGCATTCCTAGGACAGTGGCTGACTGGTAGGTATCATTAGTGGCCTACTCTGCAGCTCAGACATCACCACGATGTGAGAGTGTGAGCAGATAATGCTAGGCCATGAACTCTGCTCCTGGAACTCCCTGGTTTAATCCAGCTGGTTTGCAGTACAGAGACTAGACAAAAACATAACAGCATTAACAAAGTACTATTACCAGAAGTTTCGGTGGATGAGAAATAACAAGTGTCTGGTACATCCACCATCACACACACACACACACACACACACACACACACACACACACACACACAAAAGCATTTAGGATCATGGTGGATTGTGTCAAGATGCCACACTGTCTATTCTGAGCCATCAGATGTTAACTGACAATCCAATAGCAAACCGCTGGTCAGTATAGGGGAGACAGTAATAAAATGACAAATGAAACTTCTAGGGCCTTGTATTGAAACCAAGGGCAGAGGAAGTTACAGATACTCACTGGGGGGGGGGTGCACTGAAAATATTGGGTTTGGTCCTGCGCAGCCCATTCTAAGGGGTGGCACATTATTGAATTAAAACTTGCAAAAAAACATGATCCAGAAATTTAAAGGAGAAAGAGCTTGTGTCTGATGGCAACAGACATGTGAGGGGGATGAAGTCAGAGTCAGGGCCACGAAAGGAGGGGAGACAATTATTGCAAATAGCTTAAGGGCTGACGTGTGGAAGAGTGAGGGGACCGAGCCTACATTCCTCCCGCAAGCACATACGCGACACCCACAGAAACATGCTTCAGAAAGCGTGTGGACTTTAGAAGTGGGAAGAGACGGTAGTTCCAACTTCGTTCTACCGCTGGCAGCATGGTCTTGGTCGTTGCTTCCCTTTGACAGCAGCACTTGTGGTAACTCGTCTTGGTTCTCAGTTTCTCTTGTCCCATCTGTAAAGACAACAGAAAGAGGCTTGCTGGAGAGCTTCAAGAATGGATACAAGTCTGGCCGTTTGCGGGCATTCAATAATGCAATTTTATTTTCATGTTATTAACGATATATCAGTGTGGCTAGTACCAATGTGTGGAGCTCACATGAAGCCAGTTTTAGTTAAGAATAGGAGACTATCAATGTTCAAATTCGTTGCACAAAAAAAAAAAAATAGAATGGGCTTAGGAAGTCAAAGTGAGTCCCTTGTCCTGGGGACTGTTCCAGATGACAATCATAGGGAATGGAACAGAAAGGACTTGATGTCTGGGAGAATCCCAAGATTCCACATTTATTACATGTGAAGCCAGCTTCATTCGTACTGGCACCTAGCAACTGGACATGAAAGCTGCTGTTCACCAGGAAACCAACATCAGGATTACCTGGAACCATTCTGTTATGGTGAAGACATTTGCTATTTAGCGATGTCCCAGTTTGGATGATAACAATATATGGTCAGCCTCATTATAACTCTGGTCATAATTTATCAGCTGGGAGGCATGAATCCTCTTGTTATTTGTGAACACGCGTTTCTTCCTACAGCTGTTGCCTCCTCTCTTCAGTCAGTTTGCCAACCCCTTTTGATCCTGTCTCCCAAATTCCTCCCAGTCTGCCCCTTCTTTTAAGTCTTACTGCTTTAGTTCAGGCTCTTGTTACCTCTTGCCTGGAGCATTGTAAAATCCTCCCAGCAGCCAAGGCTCATTCTTTTATCCATAAAGCCCACTGCCTCTGGTGTTGACTTTTAAAGCATGTCACTGATCTTGCCGGTTCTTTTTATTCACCTAGAGAAAAATGAAGTTTTAGTGTGCGCCTTACTGTAGCACATAAAACCAGATGGAAGGGTTTTCATTGAAAGGAAAGAACATGTTTAGGATTGTAGGATTTAAAATGCTGTATTATGCAGGCTACCTAAAACTCCCCCGAAGACACCAAGGAGGGCTTCTCAGTGGCGTAGATCACTAACGCTCAGGATATCTGGGAAGAAAGCTTGCGAGTTACGTAGCTTCCACGTGGGAGAGACACAGCTAACAATGTCAGCCAGAAGAAAACAGAATGGTTTCCAGCCTGAGTCCACAGGCATGCCCAAGGATGGGGCCTCTGAAGTGCAGGTGCTGGTCTGAAGCCTGGGTGGATCGCCTGTGGACTCGCTTTCCTTAGCGTGCTTGCTGGGTTACTCACTGGAGGAGGAACTACCAACTTCTAAGATCTGCAGTGGGGGTTCTGCCAGACCATCCTCAGAACCACTGTTCAGCCACCTGCGTCTCTACTCCCGTTCTCTAGCTGGGCTTCAGGTGTCCTCATGTGAAGCATCGTGTGGTCTCAGGTTGGTGCCCACCATCTCTTATCATGAAAATGTTCCTCATTCTCTCTCTCTCTCTCTCTCTCTCTCTCTCTCTCTCTCTCTCTCTCTCTCTCTCTCTGTGGAGGGGGAGGGGAGCTCATGAGTGCTGTTATCCCTGGAGAAGAGGAACAGCATCTTACTTTAGGAATCTTCACTAAAACTTTGCTCATAGAGATTATTAATAAATGTCTGCTAGATGAAATACATTTTAACAGAGGACCATAACCAAACCACTTCCCCATCACAAAGAACTGAAGTATCTCCAGAAGGTTTCTAAATGCCGCACTGTGACAAAATTTCACCACGATGAGAGAAGAGCCCGCCTTGCTGGAGAAGTTGCTCGCTTGCTTTGCAGTTAACAAATGGCTGGAAGCAGCATGACCGCTTCAGTCTTTACAGTTCAGAAGTTTGGAAGGAGCTGTGGAATGTCAGGGAACACCAGGCAAGGGCTAATCCTAATTCTTACATTCCTAGATTTGCCTCTAACATGTGGCCTACGTGGAATGTGGGCCTGGAGGAACAGCTCAAACGACTCGCCTATTGGGGTGAGAGTCTCTAGAGAGGATCAAATCTTCAGCCAAGTTATTGGCCTCAATCGAAGCGATTTTGAATTACCTGATGGGTTCCAGTCAGTGGGATATCAGATTGCTTCCTGTGGAGTATGCAGGTTTAAACCAACAACCACAAGGACCTATCTTTGAAGCATAAAACATTTGGACATTAAACCTTCTTTCTGGCACCGTGCCTGAGGCCAGAGATCTGCACTTTCAGCAGATCTCACCTGGGATTTCTCAGCACACATGGCCCGAGAGTTACTTAACTTCCAAGCTTGCAGCTCTGCTGGAAAGAAACTGGTTTGGACTCTGCTGGAAGGTAAGAAGAAGTACAGAAACCGAGTAGCCAGAAAAAACTCTCCTTTTCCGTAGACAAACCCATGCCAAGATTCTGAAGAAAGCATCTGAGCCACTCCATGTGCAATGCAGGGTGAATCTAGATGGCACGGATAAAGAAGATCTGCTTCCATGAACATACCCAGATCAGACACCGGGAGAATGTCAAGGGCACAGGATTCAAAGGGCTGTTTCTTAAATTTCCACATAGACTCCCCAGGCAGTGAGACCCCCAATTTGAACCTGACACAATGAAAGAGAAGAAATAATTGAGGTGAACACTTAGCAATTAAAGAATACTGGAAATATATGATCAAGTCATCTTTGACCTCTGTAAAGGGAGTGGTCAAGGAACCACATGTGATTTCTTGAAGAGCGAGGGTGAGGGCTGTGAGGTCAGTGGCCAAGACCGAGGGCCTGTAGGATTGTCTTAGAGTAGCCAGAGGCTGCACTGTGTGCAGATGATGTCATACCCCCACCTGTGGTTTGTGCCTAGACTGACAGTGACCATGCTCTACTATTTGGGTCCCGGGAAGGTTCTCAGAACGGCTTTTAGAATTTGCTCCAACCCAATCTTTTACAGAAAATAGGAGATACAGGTTATAAGAGAGGTGCCCAGGGGCCGGGCTTGTAGAGAGATGTTAAAATCTGAGTCAATTGCATTTTATTTATTCATTTGTTTGTTTGTTATTTTCCCCTAATACCAATATACCACTCTCCCCAGGAACAGGGCACACTAGTGAGTAAATTTAGATGTCACACAAAGGAAAAGAGGGCACCAGATTCTAAAACATGCCACAATCTCTCATTATCTTTAAATGAGGTACTCTCATTATCTTTAAAACAACATAGTAAACCCAGGTAATAAAAAGGTATTTTGAAATTAAATTGTAAAACAGTAAACTTATGCTACCCTCACAACAAAATATAAGTTGATCATTAACTAGTTTGTAGTTTATGTATATATCAAAACATCACAGGGTACTTCGGTAATAAATATAATTACTTATACATTCAAAAATAAAAAAAATAATGCCTTTTTTTGCAAAATAGACAGTCTAGTCAATGTTCTTTCATTCTAAGGTGACGTCATCTTGGTTTTCATCCAAACCCAGTCCTGAATGAGCTTCATGTAATGACCAAGAATGAAATTCTTCATTACCTGCTAGCTCCCCTCCACTTCCCAGAGCCCTAACTCGTGGGGCAGTGGAAAGGGTCGGAGTCTTCTGTTTACCACAGGCACCCTCTCTCAGCAAGCAGTGTCGGTAACACTCCTATGAGAAGACTCTTAATGACTCAATTCTGAATGCCCATGACTTCTTCCAGATTGTGCGTAGGAGATCACCAAGTCTGGGCACTTGAACATAGGGCAGTGAATGTGTCTGTGTGCAATGGAGACTGGAAAGCTGAAAGAATGTGAGCATCACCATGTGGGACTAGAAAGTGACAGCAGAGAAGGCAAGTGGGGCCTTCTCACCCCCTTTTCCCAAGAGCAAAATACCATGAAGAAAACTGAAAGCATAGGCCAAGGGACATAGCTGGAGACAACCATGGAAGGAGATGAACTCCAACGTGAGCCTGAGGCAAGCTTATCTGGAGGAAGTTATGGAAAGGATAGAGCCCATCAGAAACCCAGATATCCGGGGGCTTGGGCCATTGCTATCACCAAGGGAAGCAGGTTGAGAAGAACTTCTGTTAAAAACAAGGGGCCTTATCGTGGGTGTGGAGGATGAAGGCTGGAAAGGAGGACTGGCAATTGGAGATGTCTAGGCTATTATGGCAAGCTTGTAAAGAGAGTTTTCTCTAAATATTTTTATGCTAAAGCTATAGAGAATACTTCTTCATCTAGCTTAGAAAATAAAATTTACCTATCACTTACATAATAGAGGAAAGGAGTGGGGCTGGCTTTGGGTTTAGCAGATCCCGAAGTTCAGCCACAGTCATCAAGGACTTAGGGTCTTTTCATCTTCCAGACTTCTGCTCATTGTGTCAGTGTAACCCTAAGACAGTTCCTCTTGGGTCATGGGACGGTTGCCAGTAGTAATCCACAGGGGAGTGTCTGCCTTCATGCTATTTCTCTCTCCTCAGAGTGCAAGCGCACTTCCTCAGAAGCATCTAGAAAATCTCTTTGGTCACACATGCACATTTACAAACTAGTCACTGTCATTATGGCAGGGTAACTTTTTATATCCACCAGTGGTGGTTCATGTTGGTTTCCCCCAACAACCTTGGTTTGATTTTTTTTTTTTCCTGTGGTCTGAATATCTGAGTCCTCCCCAAATTCATAGATTGAAGCCTAATGGGCAGGGTGATGGTGTGAAGAGGTGGGATCATTGAGGGGAGCTGAGAAACTCAGGGAAAAAACTATATACATGTGTGTGTCGATAACATTGAGTGTCTCAACAATCTTCTCAAGAGAAACAAAGTCCTGATACAAAGAGGCCCAGGGAAGCTTGTTTGACCCTTCTACCATTGAGGATTCAGCAAGAAGGCACTGTCAGTGCAGCAGAATACATTACCACATCCAACATCTGTCAAGACCTCAATCGTCAACTTCCAGCCTCTACCTGTGAGGTCTTTTTATTTTTTTTTTAAGTCACCTGGTTTGTGATATCTCTGTCTTATCAACACAAAGAGGAGAACACACTATTTGGGAGAGGAAGTGTGGAATGTGTAGAAGGAGCAGCAGGCCACTTCTTGCCGCCCAGCTCCCCCACGGCTAGCTTTACACCCGAAATAACAACACACAAATTGTGTTCATTTAAAACACTGCCTGGCCCATTAGTTCTAGCCTCTCACATCTTGATTAACCCATTTCTATTAATCTGTGTTTACCATGATGTTGTGGCTTACCAGGAAGAATCTAACCTATGTCTATCTTGGGCTGGAGCTTCATGGCATCTGTCTGACTCTGCTTTCTTCCTCCCAGAATTCTGTTCTGTCTACTCCACCTACCTAAGGGCTGGCCTATCAAAAGGCCAAAGCAGTTTCTTTTTTAACCAATGAAAGTAATACATAGACAAATGACCCTCCTACACCAGGAATGGATGTCACCTAAACAATCAGAGCATTGGCCAGCCCCTCCTCAACTCTTTCTGTGCTTGCTTTTTGTGAATGTCAGCAAGTGTTTTTTAATTAGAGAATAGTATATTGCAAACTGAGTTTCTCATAACTAGGTCCAGAAAGTCACCATGGCTGGCAGCCAGAGGCTCTGCATTCTATGCTCTTTGATTTTTGCCCCTTGCACTTTGTGAAAGCCTTAAGTGTTCCCTATGCCCTGTGTATTTAATCCCCTCCTACTTCAGCTTGCTTCAAGGAGGTGTTTTAGGATTAAGTAAGATGTATGTCAAAATACTCACTAACCTCTTGGAAGGCAGAAACATGCTATCTACTGTTATTTCATAGCATTTTGTAACAAGATGGGAATTTTCCAAGTACATGAAAATCTGCTCTTGTTGAGATAAAAATCTCCTGCTTATGACAGGTGACCAGAAGTACTGCTTTTTGAACTGAGCCAACAAAATAATGCAACTATAGGCAGCATGTGGGG